CTGATGACTCATCTTGCATTAGTCCAGACAGTCCTTCTCTCCAAATTTGAGGTCTTATGCTAAGCATTTAGAAGAGCTGCCAAGCCATACATACATTTATTTTTATTTTTCATACAGAATTGTGCTATCTGTAATGACATTTCTTCCAGGTGACATTCTGCATACTGAAAATGCCTAACTTGGGACATTTTTCACAGACATGCCTCAACATTTGTGATAGACATACATTGTGAAACAGGTGACAACAGATGGTCCTGTGTGTTCAGGACATTTCTTCATTCATACTGCAGCATAAAAGGCAGTTCAAGTCCATGTTGTTTTGTGTAAATGTATATTTGGTGAACTATTTGAAGAGAGGTTTTGTTTGATATTTTGGACATCGCCGAGTGTACAGAAATGAATTGTATGCAAACATCTTAGACATTTTTATGTTCAACTTGAAATATTGTAGAAGGCATTTTCGAAAGTCTTTTGTGAAGGAATCGTTTGCCTTGTCAGTCTCTATTTATCCAAGTGTTCCTTTGGCTGGGTCACAGGGGAGGCTTATGACTGTTGGGCTTTTCACAACCTTTCAGTCTAATTCTTTCTGATGTTTTTGCCATCATATTATCTTCACCATCTTTCATTCTAATTAATTTTGATGCATTGCCCATCAAAATACGAGATTTGAAAGGGGGAGGGTCTAGAAATCTCATCTACTTTTTTAAAGTTCCCTCAGTGTGTTAATACTTTATTTATTAGCAAGGGCTATTATTTTGAGATGGCAGGTGTTAGGAAGTATGGAGATGTGATTTGTTTTAGTTGTTTTGTTTTTTGGTGAAAAGGGCAGAAATCATTGCAGTATAGTTTTAAAAAAGTCAGACTTTACTTTGTGCACAATTAACATATATCCCCCCAAATTTAGTACATTGTAATGGGAGCAACGCATGCCCCATGATAACTGTTTTGTTGGAGCTAAGCTTTGTAAACCAAGCTTACTGAGAGGATTTATTGCCCAGAGAGGAATTAAATCTGTCAGTGAAGCCATGAGGGGGTTAACTTGTGCCAAGCCAAGCTGGCACAACCATGATGCCAACCAAGACACAACCGTGATAACACAAAAGCTGTCGACCCAGTCCAACAATGGTGAATTTTCCCCTGAACAAATCAGGAGTGGTATTCTCCTGCTTTTAAATGCATGCTTTTAGTATACACAGTCTGCTTATTTCTCACACTTTCAAATATACAGCCAGCTGATTTGTGGGTAGCTGCCATGGTACAGTTTCCTCTGTTTTGTGCTTCAAGCTTCACTTTTGTGTGTGTCCATAGCCTGAGAGTCAGGTCTTTTTGTCTGCAGCACTGTTCATGAGTTCCTGTTCTGTGTCATGGTGTGGCCACACAAACTGGCAACCACAACATAAAAGGAGGATAGGGATTTATAGCACATCAGCTGCTCAGCAGTAGTTGCTTGTTGTGTACACTCCTCCCCAGCTAAATCATGGCAACTTATTCACTTGTCACTGGGCACATATACACAAGATGCTTACTGTGCAGTAGCTCATTACTACTGCACATTAGCATCATGTGGCAGGAAGCGTGATGTGATGTTACTGTGCCGTAGTAACGAGCTACTGCGCAGTCAGCGTCACCTAAAAGCCATTCGGTGACGCTACTGCTCAGTAACTCTGGTGCAGTCATTTAGGACTTGGTTATACAAGTCCTAAATGACTGCACAGTAATGAATGCACAGTCAGCGTCTCATGTAGATGTTGCCGCTGAGCCATAAATCCCTCCCCTCCTTTACCTTTCAGTTGCTTGGTTCTTTTCCCATGCCCTTAGGACATGTCCGCACTGTGTCTGTTGCAAACCCAGGATCGCACCTGCAACTCATTCCAGTTCAATACATGCCACAGCCCAGAAATTAGGCAGTGTAGCCAGTTTGGAATGTCCCGCGCCTGTGCTCAGTTACACTAAGCAGCTTTGGACACGCATCACTTTTTTAGTACTATATACACTCTTATCACATTACAGAAAACTAGCGTGCATACATTCTGGCTGGCTGCAGCTCCATACATAATGTGTGGGCAGTTATATGTAGAGCTGCATGGGGTCTCTAGTCCCCAAGCATTCCATAGTGCTCTGCCCCTCTTCCTGTACTTCTTTCGCAAGAGGGGGAGAGGGAGAGTAGCTGGATCCCTGACAGCCTCCAAGGAGCAAAGCTGCAATTTCCTCACTTACAGCTATTAGAGCCACTGCTTCCCACTTCCCCCAGGGAGCAACAACTCTGCTGAGGGACCAGTGCCACTGCCTCCACAATGGCAGCAGAGAGGCTGGCCCCCATTAAGGGAACCCACCCCCACCCTTGCTCCCTAGCTGGAGAACACATCACTGAGACCGCTGACAGACATCCAGTTAAAGACATGATAGGATGTGGTCCTTGATCCCAACAATTGTGCCTCCTGCCATATCATATGTGCATTTGTGATTGGGCATCAGATCCCAATTGTGCCATGCTGCTGATGCAGGGGGAGCCATGAGATCCCCCTGTACCGGCAACTAGCAAGCTGGGTGCCCAGCGCTCCCATGACTGAGAGCACCAGTCAGCTCATTTGTTCCGCTGTTGGCACTCCCAGCCTCAGGAGCACACCAGGGGCTTGAAATGCTCCCTGTCTGTGGCTTATTTCCTGTTTCATCATGCCATTAATTGAGCGACCATATTGCCAGGTTACTACTTAAGATGTGATTAACTGGTTAATCACATCTCAAGTGTAATGTCTGCCAGGGCCTGAATGGCTTCATGGATCCTACTCCCCTTTTCACCAAAAAACTCAACAATACCATCAAATCATTTCCATGAAGACTACAAGAAAAACTACAGACCTTGATCCCCCCGCTACCTAACCCGGGCACTTTTTACATGCTCCCTAAAATCCACAAACAAGGGAACCCTGGCAGACCTATCATATCCAACCATGGGACCCTAACTGAGGAAATATCAGGTTTCGTTGAATCAATCCTAAAACCGCTTGTCACCCACAGAGCAAGTTTTGTACAAGACACTACAGACTTTCTACGGAAACTTAAAAACATAGACCACCTTCCCAGCAACACACTCCTAGCCACCATGGATGTTACCAGCATATATACCAAGATACCACACCAGGATGGCATTCTACAGGAACAAGATTACAACCCAGAATACAGACCCAGAGATATTACTGAGCTTATACACTTCATCCTCACACACAACAATTTCACTTTTAATAATCAACACTTCCTCCAAATGATGGGAACAGCTATGGGCACTAAAATGGCCCCACAGTATGCCAACCTTTTTATGAGCCACCTGGAAGAAGACTTCCTTAAGAACTGCACCATCAAACCCTTGCTGTACTTAAGACACATCGATGACATCTTCATCATTTGGACTGAAAACCTACAATCTCTGATTGAGTTCCATCAGAAATTCAACA